GAACCCTTAATCACTACCAAACTTAAAATCCAACATTCTATCAATACAACACATGTTTGTTGACGATGCCTAGCTCAATATTTGATGAAGATAGTCTGGTGAAAGTATTCATAATGAAAATTGAGTACTGCTGCTAATTGCTGCTAGGGATACTTAAAAGAAAATCATGAATATGTTAAACTCAAGTTTCCAAAAAAAAAAAAATCATAGAGCTTAAATTAATCAAAGATACAGAGCTGGCTACTCACAGGTTGTTTGCTGGATACTGCTTATGTCACGGGTCGAGACTTAAGCTTCGAATTCGCACGGCTCCGGGATCCAGGCATGCATTTATTCGACGTCTCAGATCAGCCTTCCTGCTACGGTTCACACCCTTGTAAGGTATTGTTCGCTCTGGCCTCCCAGGCTTCACGGTTTTGTCCTACAAAAGGCACCTCACAAGGAAGAGATGGTGTGAACCCTTATATACCCCAGTGACCCTCCTATTATGTTCGATGTAGGATTCAAGACTCATCTTTAGGTCCGTGACATTCTCCCGCACCTAACCTCGTGACACCCTCACGTAGGTTGGCCACCTTGCCTACCTCCCTCGAGGTGCTTGTGTGGATCGAACGGTTTAGGGCTGGCTCTGATACCACTTGTCACAGGTCGAGACTTAAGCTCCGAACCCGCGTGGCTCCAGGACCCGGGCATGCACTCATCCAGCGTCTCAGATCAACCTTCCTGTCACGATTCACACCCTTGTGAGGTATTGTCCGCTCTGGCCCTCCTAACCTCACGGTTTTATCCTACAAAAAGCGCCTCACAAGGAAGAGATGGAGTGAACCCTTATATACCCCAGTGATTCTCCTATTATGTTCGATGTAGGATTCAAGACTTCTCTTTAGGTCCGTGACACTTACACAAAAAAAAAAAGAAAAAAACGAATAAAAAGCCTTATTTTACCTGGACTCGACAAGCCTGCAAATATCCTTAAGTATGAGGAGCTTACTTTATTATTATTTCTTTTATGAAAAAAATTACAATTTGAGAATAAAATAAAAAAATTATAAGTATTAAGATTTGACGTTAAATTTATTGGATATCATATTTTAAGAATGATTACATTAACCTGAGTTGAACTCAAGTTTATTATTGTTATTAATTTTGGTACACAAGGAAAATTATTGCAATTCAAACCTTATTTCTACTCAAAAAGTAAATAATAATAATAATAAAAAAACTACCTTTCCCTAACTATACTAGAGGAATGAACTAATTGTTCATGCAACATTCATACCGAAACAAGCAAGGAATTTGATGTATCCTCTATGGGGTTTATTAGGCAAATAAATAACTAAGATCATATTTCGCGTGTAGGATAATTTATAAAATAAGATGATAATTATCATATGTCATGTTTAGTTTGTATGTAAGCAAATGGATATAATTGTAAAGAGAATTAATTATCTTCTTAATATAAGATGATTTAATCTTTCCTACTACCAGAAAATAGAGCATCATCGGTGGAATTTTACTGATAGAATTTTTCCATTGGTGATTATTGACAAGAAACCAACGAAACATAATTGAAAAAGAATTTGAGCATCATTGTCAGAATATCGATACAATTTACTGATGGATTTAATTTCGTTGGTAATCTATCATCTATGCTTCGTTACTCTCAAATACAAAAACAAATTGATAAGTTGAGAATTGAGCTGAGGGCTGAGCTTAAGTCTTTCATGGATCCGACGATGTAGTTGATGGGGTCTGAACAATTTTTGCCAATACAATCTTCTAAACTTGATGATGACAACATAGATTCTGTATTAAGAGATGCAGTAGCACAATGACATTTTTTTTCAGGATTTATATGATGTGTTTTATAGATGTTATTGATGTTTTGTGAATGTTATAGATATTTTATGGATGTCATGAATAATTTGAATTGTTTTTAAATTTATAATGTGGATTTGATATTAATTAATAATAATAATATTTTAAAATAATTACACATGTTTTAATTGTAATTTATAGATTTCTTAAATAATTATAGATGAAATTAATCAAATTATTAATAAAATTGTAATTTTACCAAAAATTTACCAACGAAATTAATGCCATTATTGACGGATTACCAATCAATTATCAATGGAATATCGACGAAAAGCACACTTTAGTAATAGATTATCAACTAATTATTGATGGAATATCGACGGATTACCAATGAATTTTATTGATGGATCATCGACATATTTTACCAATAGAATACCAACACTTTTACCAGTGGATTTGACCAACAAATTACCGACTAAATTATCGACAAAATTATTACTGATAGAATTTACGGATGAAAAATTTTATTGACAATTACAGATGGATTTTATATATGATTGACGAAATAATATTATCGACCTATTTATCATGATGAAAAATTCCATTAGTAATACTATTACTAACGAAAGATATGCTATTATCAATGAAAAATTTCGTTGGCAAAAGTCAACTTTTTTATAGTGTCCAAAATGGAGAAAATTATTTTTAATTTATGAAATTAAACTTACATATCTTATTATATTTTTAAATATTACATCAATAATTTAAATTTTATAAGTTTTGAAAAAGAATAATTTTGATTAATATATAAAATTATCTTATATTAATTATTGCGCGCATCAAACGTAAAATAAAATTACATTATTTAATATAATCTTATTCATAATATTATTTTATATTATTTTATCATGAACCAAACACACGTAGACAAACATTATGCAATTCCTGACATCTACCTCAAAGCTTTTGACTTCTAGTGATGTTGAGGATCCGGTCCTCCGGGCGAGACCCTTTCAGGATCACCACTCAGAATCCTTCTGTAGTAGGCAATTTTGGATACATCATAACCAAGTTTCTCTAAGATAGTCCTGCCATCAATCTTTTTGGCCATGGTTGGGATACCATGAGAAGACCTGGCCTCAGAATTTCTCATTACAAGCAACAATACAATGACCATGAACAACAACAACAACCTCGTATTTGAAGCAGTAGCCATAGTACTCTTTTGGCAATGGGAGAAGAAGTAAGTGATCGAGAAACTTGCCAAGCTTGATCGAGCGACTGAAAGCAACGTTCATCTTTTATAGTACTTAAGGAGAAACCTGTGCATGCCAGTGAGGCACGATTGAAATGACATTATCATAAAAAGTCCTCATTTATTCAGTATAAGACATATTGATATTGGAACATCTAGATAAAATTTGACAGAAAATGGTTTGTCTTCTATCCAGAACAGCTAATTTTCTGCTTTATTGACTCATCTCCATTACCTTAGACAATAAAAACATGATGTTCGTTTTTATCATAGATCTGGTTCTTCAAATGCATGTAAAATACGAAAAATTACAATATCAAATTCTTGTTGACACACTAAACACAAAACTTCTTTTTTTTTTTTTACCAAAAATTTTAAATCATATCGATATGATTTTTATTTATGTTTAAAATTGCCAAATGTACTTATTTGCACAGCAAAAGGTTGGGTTTCTTTCCCTTCACAAACAGCCAAAAGGCTGTTAATTTGGTGTGGCATCTCGAAATTCTAGGCATGACTCATTCTTATTCTCTAGTGCTTATCTTAAACTATTATTAGCATTATGACAGAATTGACTCAAAAGCTCATCAAGACAATACAACCTTTGATCGTTAGCTCATACTCCTTTGTCTGTTCCTATGCCTTTTTTCTCCAATATAGGGAATTTGAAAGTTGTCCTTATGCATGAATATGGAAAAAATAACTTCTTTAATCCATTTGTCGTTTATTTTGGCCTTTTGCAAGCCGCCCCGCATGTATAATCCACTAACTAAGTTCTGTTTACTTCAAAACTTTAACATTTTGGGCTAGCAAATTCTTTTGTCTACATATCTTAAATCTATGTTACTCAGAACTCGGGTAAGGGTTCGATCCGGATATAAAAGTTTTCATGTATTAGGATCAGATTTTCATGCGTATAATCGTTGATTATGTGTATCGTACAAGTATTCTAAAAAAAAATGAAAAGTTGTAACAACGTAATTAGCTTGTCGGCTAAACCTGACGTAGAATTGGGCGCAAGTGCTATCCCAAAACAAATACATAGAATTGATGGTAAACGTATATCAACATTATAATTTTGCAGGTCAAAATGGCAGGAAAAGTCAGGTGATATAATCCATTTTGCATTGAATTTCAGAATGTTTAAGGTAGGGTTTGAGAAGAGTTGTCTAAGGTATTGGATAGAATTTGGTTTTGGGAAATTAGTATGGATAGAATCACACATCAGCCTAACTTATCCCCATCGAAACAGATTATTGATTAAGACAGCATGTGGAATGTTACATGCATATATAAAGGTCCACAACTTCGATCTTCGATCTATACATATCACAACTTGTAAACTATACCCACGTTTAATGGTCAAGGTATAATCATGATGATGATTCAATGATGTTTAGATAATGAGTAGATCACAACAGTTGCACGCCTAATTAGGATTAATATGGCATATTATAGCCCTCAGAGTTATCTAGAGCTTCTAGTCGTGGCTTATATCCTGGGAGTATATTACATATAATAATTGTATTATAATTAATCAATTATAATTGAAAATTATTTAGAATCCACCAAAATATTATATAGAGTTCACATTTATAAGTGATGGATATATATATATATATATATAATTTTTTATTTTAATTGACTAATTATTGGATCGTAATAAAAAAATTATAGATGAAATATCCGTTTTTAATTTGACTTTCATGGTAGTTTTAAAATATCAAAAGAAAATAAGAATCTAAAGCTTAGCTGATCAAGTGGTTCATATAACTTCTAACATATGACATCCCATAAATCTAAAATTTAAATTTCAATATCTATAACTTATTTTTTTATTCTACACTACAATTTCCTTTGTATATATAAAAATTATATATTATACAAAGATCACTGATATATGGTGTAATTCGCATGTATATTTCATAGTAGATTGGAAAAGAATTAGACCAATACTATTGTATAAATATGTTTTCCTAACTCTCTTGACTATATAAGCAATTAAATTGAACAATTAGGATTGGAGATGAGTAACATTATTAGGTAAAGAAACTTTGAAGCATTGAAACTTTGTATAAAATGCAAGGACTATCTAATTATATATTGGATATCTACTTTGAAAGATAGATAGATCCTAGCTAGCTAGCATAAGCTTTATCTGTCCAATTACAAAAAATTCCATGACATCATCTTCCTCTCTTCTAGTCTTCATCTTATCCTCATGCTCTATAGTACATGGATTTATGTATATCTTGTTCTCATTCATAAATTGTTATTTTATCCAAAGAATTCGTAATATACTTGATTGACAGTATCAATATAAAAGCATTTAGTGTATAAATTGGTGCAACAAAAAGCTTCAGTTGTATACTATTGTTGATTCAATTCTCTTTGATTTTATTCCATCGAAAGAGGAAAAAAAAATCAACCCTGCAACTGTATTTCAATCATTTCGGGTTTTTTAAAGCTTATCTGAATGTAAAGTTACAAATTCTGGGGCCCAACATATGAGCAATCAAACAGCAGTTGGTGATCCTAATTTGCTGATACTGTTTGACAGAATTTTTATGCTAGAACATCCCACAGAAACCAGCAAAATCTAAAGCAATGCAACACAAGCCTCCATGATGAGAACTTTGTGAGGTTACTATATCAAAATTTACAACAATAAGATGCAGCAATGTTCTATGTTCAATACACTGATAATGGCTAATCAGGAAGAAGAGGTAACTTGTCCACGCTGTGCGGGGAACCATTTGCACCATAGCAGTCAAAATTGTCAAGCTTATTTCCATCAACAGTCTCATTAGAGTTTTTGTCCTCGTTCGTTATGAGATGAAAAGGGAGGATACGTAGACGGAAATCTGACCCTTTGGCAACTTTCTCTGACTGTAGTTGGTATTTCTGAATGAGCTCTATTTGTAAAGATAAAATGTGAGGTGGCCTTGAAAGCAGTTCCACAGGCTCCCCTTTTGGGATTACTACCTGTTCAATGGCTATTCTTGCTTCCTGCAATGTAGAAAACTAATTTAAGTAAAGCATTTGACAGGGAATCCAATGAACCATGTAGTTACGATTCACAGTGCAAGTATTATAAGTATATAATGTCTGCAGCATATTTTACACAATTATATGTTGCTACAAAGTTTACTTTATCAATCATTAAGATCTTAACTTCCGCTCCCAAGTGACCAAACTAAATAATGTCCAACCATTTTATCTCTTTTTTATTTGTCTTTCTTTGAACTTTTTTTTCCCTTTTATTGTAGTTAGGGCATTCCATTAAGACAAAAAGAGAAAGAACAAGCTCATATAATGGAGGGTGTTTATTTCTGGGTGGATCTTTTTTCGAATAGAAGCCAAAGGCTTAAATTATAGGAGCTCTCTGACATCAATGGACTCACATTTAATATACCAGTTCATAAAGATCTAACATTTTAGAATATATCAGTATGCACCAAAGAGCAATGGTGAATACCAAACTGCAGAGCAACATATAAATGGTTAAGATATTTCTCTGTATCAGTTTAGACGTACAAACCCCATAAACTAAAAAAAGAAAAAAAAATCCTCCAGAAAAGCTGCTTCCCATGGCATTCTGGTTCTAAAATTAAACATAGCACTCAATCCCTCCATTTCTATATATTACACTAGAGCTGATATTATAGACTAGTCCTCTTTAAGAAATAAGAGTTCATGAAAATCATAGATCATGTTTTAAACCAAAAGTATAGCTTTCAGTAGAATAGAAAATACCATGATCATTTGAATCTTGCAAACATAAAGCATTGGCACAGCCATATACGAAATAATCTACATGCCACGTTTATATTTGAGCAATAAGGGGAGTAAAGTTGATAGGATGCTAAAGGGAAGTAGAGGCTGAAAATATGTTTCGAAATGACAAGGTTATAGAGTAGGGCAATTGGGAAGATTAATAAGGGTATCTTTGTTATAATAATAAGAAAAAAAGAAAGGATTTATTGGCCTTTCTCCATTGAAAATCAATTCCTCATTAACCTATTTGAAGGTTTCTTGCCAAATGATTTGTATACCTGCTCAAAAGTATTGCTCTGAATAAACCTGAATCACTAGCAAGGTTTAGAGCTTCTAGAACAAAGTTCTAATCACTTTCTTGCCACCATAACTACTCCACATGCAAAAATTATAATTTCTTTTAGAGAGAATAAACTTTTAACAAAACAGACAAAGTGGAAGAAAAACATTGGTCTTTACCTCTAAGGCATCAACCTTCTCCAAAATACTCATATCATCTTCTGATCCAGAATTCTTCAATCCATCTGGATAATCATCTTTTAATGCCTCTATGGCTTTTGTTACCTGCATCAATGAGCTTGTCTACAAGAAAAGATAGGAAAATAATGATTCACACCAGAACTTTTATGATGTGAAAGTACAACTGATTCTAACCAAGAAGAAGGCATTCACCTTTGCCACATAGACAGGTATGTCATGAGATTTAGCTGCAGCTTGAATCCCAGCGTTCTTTTTGAGCTTTGAATGCAGTGCAAGTAACACATCTGCCTCACTGATATTTTCAGTTATTCGAACTGCAGCGTCCATTTTCAACTTTTTAAGTCCTTGTATCACACTCGCCTCTGGTATCTAGAATAACTGCTCATTCTGTAAGTTTCATATGTAATACTTTCTCATTATTTATAACCACTGCAACTACTGACACTCAGAAGAAAGAGAGCTTTTAACTGAGACATTATATCTTCATGAATCTGATGACATTTGGTATCACATTAAATTTCATGTTCTATAAATATCTGAACACAAATAAGTAAATCAAATGTTAAAAATAATAAAATTGGTGGCTTCAAGAATATCATGCAGTCGCATCTATTGAGCATGAGTTAGAAGGTAGTTTAAGTTAACTTCATACCCAATAACATCTATGTCAAAGCTAAGTAAAAAACTAGGATTTAACTGAATATTACAGGTAAAATCAAATACTGAATACATAAGTTAACTTCTTGAATTCCCTAAACTCAATAAAAAATTATAATCAAAATGGCAATGTATGATGTCAATATGTCTTACCCCGTAGACGTACAATTGAAGTAAAGCCCTATCTTCCAATGAATCCTCAGCCATGTTTGAAGAAAGCTCAGAAGGGAACTGATTCTGGCCAATCTTCTCATTGCTAATCTCTAAAAGATCTCCAGCAACCACTGCACTCTTTTTGTCAGAGCTGATTTCAGTAAAAGTTTGTGAGGTCTCTTCCAGACCCTGAGAGTTCATCTTGTGGATTTCAATGCGTGGAAAACAACCTTCACCACAGAGACAGAATAAAATTCACAAATGCTACACCAACGTCTTAAGATATCCTGGATCACCCACTATGATCTTTCCAGGAAGGAACTAAATAAAAAAGGAAATGCACCTGAGAGAACAGCATCAACTGTTGCTTCAAGGCAACGGTGAACACGTAACTCAGTCTTAGAAACAATCTCCACACCACAACTAAATGTTGAAGGTCCTTTCCTCTCAAGCACAGTCTTCTGGACACCTCTCCTATTTGCCTCTTCATCCCCTAGAGTCACACTCTGAAAAACTATTTATTTAATGAAACTAGGACAAGTTATATTCCCAGACACAATCATGATTGAAGGAGTTTCTAATATTTCAAAACAAAATAATGAAAATATAAAAATATTTTTGCATTGATGAAATGAGAAAGAACAAAACTATAGCACTGTGGTTAGTAACCTAAATTCATGCTCAACTATAAAACAGCAGGCAAAGAACAAAATAATAAGCTCAATAGATAATAAGACCAATTGAAAAAACAGCTTTGCTTGCTTATCATTTTATACCCACATATTGAACTTAAGCATATAACAGCTATACTGTGGAAAGGTTTCACATGAGAATTTGTTACAAAATGATTCCTTATATGACGGCTATTCTTAACACTGCAACCCCTTTAATTAGAAGAAACAAGCATTTAATTAAAGATAAGACAGACACAGAAAGATGAGGCATTCTTTGAGGATAGAGGATATTGTAGGATACAACTTGGCATATGAAACTTCATGAGCGTCAGTACCTTACAGAGATGTTAATAAAGTTTGTCACATTGAAATGGAAAGAAAGAAGAAATCCTTCTCTCTCTTGTGCCTTGTTATCTCCTTAAACTGTTGCCTCATTTAATCATTTCAAGTGTTTCATTCCCCTATACCAAAATAGTATTTGTACTAGAAGATTATTTTACCATGCAACATTTCTATCATAAAGCCAAGAAAAGATTTGATTGTATGATAGGAAGGGCATCATGCTTATTGCTCAGGTAAAATGTCAAAATACCTGTTGGAAAATGTTGATAGTTTCCCTTCTCCTTTTTTTTTTTTTTTACGTTCATGTTTTTTGGATTCATGTTTTGCCTTTAGGAAAGACACAATATCTCTGCACTAACTTATAACCAGAATAGAATGAGTGACCATGAAATTTCATATTCAAGGCATAAGTTTTCCATGCAGCAAAAACAAATCTTAACAAGCTGTAGAATAAGACAAAAATTTAGTGAAGAGTTATCTTAAAACATCAGTCAAGAAAAGAAAACTTCCTAAATAAAATGTTATCTTTCCAAAAGTCAATGAACAGAGAAGTAAAATTATGATAAAGGATGGATGCAACAAGTTGAGTGAGGGGCTGAAATATAAATGTTACAAAGGTTTGAGATAATACAAGCACCAATCTCATATACCATATATCTTAATATAATGACTCAATCAACTACAGTGCATTCAATCAATCAACTCTAGCAACTACTGCAAAACCTTCAGTACTAAGACCATCAAGGCATCAACGCATCGTGCAGTTTATTTTATTTTATTTTATTTTAAAAATTTAACAGTATATCTGAAATTGACACCTGTACAAAGGATCTAGAAAGGCTTTGGGATAAAGATTCCAGCAACGCTGCATATGCAGTAAATGAAGAACACTGGTATTGATTCGACTATCTCACCTGTATTCCTCCAATAAGGATCTCCAGAGAAGGATTCATAATCAAATTCTCAATGGTTACTCCATGAGCAGTGGCAACTAGCTGAATTCCACGTTGTGCAATTGTGCTTGCAGCCATTGCCTCAAGTTTTGTCCCAATTTCATCAATCACAATAACTTGTGGCATATGATTTTCAACTGCTTCTATCAATACCTGCATTATATAAAATTGTAAAAATTTTGGGGACAAATGCATTTTTGAGTCCTGTTACCAAAGAGAAGTGGTAAAGGATAGGACTAACAAGGGGAAAACTAGAGGTGAAAAGTGAATTGATCTAAAGAAAAATTTTGAAGGGGTGGTAGATACAAAATGATTGGTTTTACATATGGGAATGCCATGCCATCTAAATTAACGCATATAGGCCTCTATAATTGCCAGGAATCCAACATCAATAAGTTTTACCAGAAAAGATTTATGCATTATGTTGGATGGAAGAGTGCTAATAATGGCACACATCATCTGGAGTCTAGACCACAAAATTTAATTCCCTCTAAAAATGTTTAGAACTGAGTTTTTGATCTAAGAATATGTTTTTGAACACAGCTGCAGAAAGTCTTACTTAACCAGGATGTAAAGCAGGAAAAGGAGCCTTAACTTGTAAAAGCTTATTTCCACGATGTAAAAGAAATCATTTAATAACCATAACATGTTTTGAAAGACATTTTTTCAGCTGCTAAATTTTATGCAAGTACACACCATAAGATCAACACAAATAGTCTTCTACAAGTAACCAGAGATGATAGATGAGAATTGAGACCATTTACTTCCAGCTCATACCTTATGTTGCATATCAGAGTCAGGGACTTGCATTCTCCTTGCATGACCAATTCCAGCATGTGGTATATCACCATCCCCACCTATCTCATTGGAGGTGTCAACAATCATTACACGTTTCTTGTAGTCATTTGCAAGCATCCTTGCTATATCCCTGCCATTGGAAAGATTCCACAATAAGTAGCCAAAATTGCGGCTTTTGGAACAGCAGAGATAAAATAAATAAACCCTCAAAAAATTATATTCAACCAACAAAAGCATATAATTTACTGTTAAGACAAGTGGAGTGTACTTGACAGTGCATTTTGGCTCTTGCCAGTGCAAGTTCATTGGTTACACAAAACTTTGTCTGATAACACAAAAGAAGATGGGTTATCATTGACATAGAGTTTAAAACTGCTTAGCTAAAATGGGATTAAACATGTACTCTGAGTCAAAATATTTGAAAGTCATTGCTAATCTAATACTAATAATTTTGGACTAACAAGCTTAAAAGCACAAGTTCAAGTCTTGAGAGCAGCCACTGTTAGCAAAAATACTAAAGGACATGAACAATCCCACTTGACTCCTCTCACTAGTTCACTTCAGCAGTTATGAACATTTAACTAATTAAAGAATTTAGAGAATTCTATTGAGTAAAAAGAACTATCTCGGTAACTAGTTAGAGTTGAGTGTTTGACATACATGAATTCAACTTTGCAAGAAATTAAGAATAAGAATGGAGAAAGACAATTCTAGTCATGCAACCTTATCAAACAGATCGGAGATAGAAATGATGAACCTGATAATTGTTGTTTTCCCCACACCTGGAGGACCAATGAGCACCAAGGAAGCCCCATCTTGAACTAAATCTCTCAATAAATCAGCACTTCCAGATATTGCCCTACCAACACGACAAGTTAAACCAATAATTGTGCCTTTTCGATTCCTGATTGCACTAATTCGATGTAATGTTCGGCTGATGCCCGCTCGATTATCGATGGCAAAGTCACCAACCTGCAATTTTTTTGGTCCTAGTAAGCAGTAAATTGATTCCGCAATATAACAGTAATCCAAAAGCAAGGTATAATGCATGGTCTAGCAAATGAAAGGTCCTGCTTCAAGTAAGATTGTTAAAAGGATACATGCAAATTATGGGAAAAAAAAGGAGAAAACTGTGGTTACCACAATGAAAACATTGCGACTTGTGAGCCGTAAAATTTATCAACTTCATATATAGTCTCAACTCTAATGGCACTGCTAACATATCACTGAAATCACAGAAAAGAACACCAAGGATCCACGTTTCTATGAAGAATGCTTCAAAAGCAACCATATAATTCGAAATTATCATGCTTTTTACCATTCACTCTTACCTCAAAACTAAATGACCATTAACCTACCAAAACTTTCAAAATACTCCTAGGATGATTGACTGACAAGAACATATAGAAATACCCATCTTCTAAAATTTTATTCATTTTTCAACATCCAATTCAACAATAGAATAGAGATATTGTTTTATTTTCTCTCCCCCAATCATCACCCTCCGCTTCATTTCATTACGTTGATGAGTCATTCATTGTCGCACTTCAATAATAAAACAAAGAAGGGAAAAACCACTTAATTACCATCCAAAGGATTTAATCAAACATTTAGTATGCAAACAACCAAAGAAAATATTGATTCACCTGAGAAGTAGCATACTGAATATCCTGAACTGTGATTGGACAATCAGATAATACAAAATCCCCCGAAGGAAATCTAGCCAAGGGTTTCCTCCCTAAATCCATAACCACTTCAATCAATTCACGTAGCTCTTCATGTTCACCGATTCTATTTCTAATCTCCTCTGGCAACAGAGCCAAAAGACGGCCCAATTCCACGTCAAACTCATCCTCCAACGAAGAAGAAGAAAAAGCAGGGGATTTTATGGTACACCCAGAAATTCTGTTCGTGGAAATTTGAGGAAAAAGTTGGTTTTGATAGAAATTAAGAGGAAAAAACTGGGTTTTGAAGTGGGGTTTTAATAGAAAAGTTTTGGGTTTTATTTTGGTGATTAAAGGAGGTGAGTAGTGAAACAGAGAAAAACAGAACATTTGTTCACTTCTTTTGTTTTTCTTCTTTGGCGGGAAAAAGTAAAACTAGCAGAAGTTGCAGAATCTTTAAGGGTATTTATCATTTATTTCCTCTTTTTATCTCATTTCAATGAATTTTCATTATTTGTTCTGGTTTTGTAGGAAGAAAAATAAAAATGTGAGAATTTTTTTTAATGATAAACAGAGTAAAAAATATACCAACCACAAAATTTTCATTTTTTAAAAAATAATTTGAAAAAAAATGGACAAAAGAATAATTCCATTTATATGCTCTAGGGATTATATTATTCTAATGATTTAGGGTTTATGTGATTATGATAGTTTCATATATGAAGGAACTTTTCCTAACCACACAATAGGAATCCACGAAAGTTGGCCCTTGGCCTACAATATGGAACAAACCCATTTTAATTTACTAAAATTGGGCCTTGGCCAGTGCTTAAAATTAAAGGGGTTGACTTGAGCCACTCACAGACAACTTGGACTCAAGTTCAGTAGCATGCTTATTTAACAATCTGGTTGAGTTACCTTTACAAGTATTACACTCAAATATATGATAGTTTTGAACCTAGCTTATCTCACTTTATTCACGTAATTGAATGATATTTTGTTGATTTAGGGTTCAAATTCTAGCACCTTAAATTCTTTTTATTTTCAATGTCAAAGTTGTGATCACTTTTGTATAAAAATATATGATAGTTTTTGACAAAAAAAAGTTATAAACCAAACATGCTTAGTACTTAATACTAATACATTTTTGTGTGAAACTGTTGATAAATTAACTCATTGATAAGGTGTTTGTTTTTATTTAAGTGGTTTTATATTTAAGTAATACCATAAGATAAATTATTTCGATTGATAAAATGTTCGTTTCAATTTAAGTAGAACACGTTTAAGTAATTTTGTATTGCAAGTTAGAGCAACCTAGGATTAGGGTTGTTAACAATAAGGTTAATTCTTGAATTTAGGACTAACCAGAAGGTAAAGAAGCCTTCATTGGCCTTCTGTTTTTCTTAAGAAATGTATGCAGTTTGCACAATTGTTGCTCTCAAATGCAACTGATATTTATGGTAGCCATGTTTTCAAGAAAACTTGTTTCATTTCCCCTACACCATAAATTATGGTAGGGCATTATTATTGGAAAGTCATTTTCATCCTTCAAAACATTTCATTGTTGTATTTTGATTTCTTCATAGAAAACATGGTTTCCTTGTTCAAAGAATAATGACCCTTTTCTTTCTAAAACTTGTAAGAAAATTTATTATTTTCCTACTTGCCAAGCAGGTTTTCTTACCTGTCATAATCCTAATTTAGATTGTTACATGCAAATGACAACCTGGTATTTTCAAATTCTCCAGACACAAAAAGAAAAAAAAAATCCAAACCCCTTCGATATATAAATCCATGGTTGGTGATATGGACATGCACTGATTAGAGAGAGAAAAGGAATATTGCTTGATAATTTCCGTTTCAGATTTTTCAGTACGAAAGTAAAAGGACTGAAAGCAACTAAGAAAGTTTGCTAAGCACTGACCTCATTGCTACGTGTTCATATTTTATATTTAATTTATCCATATTCACTATAATAAAAATAAAAAAATTTAAAAAACACATAATAATCATATGATTTATTGATAAAATATTAAATTTTAAATTTTAATAACTGTTTTTTACCAAAAAAATGAAAGCGAGAAATATTTACATATATACATATATGATTCTTATATATATACTTGTACATATATACATATATGATTCTTCAAATTTTATCATTTGAGGCCTTCGAGGCATAATGTTTCATGTTAAAAATTAACTTAATATATATATATTTTTTGGCAAGAACTTGTTTCTCATAATGTTTGATGTCAACAATTAGCTTTCACTTTGTTCTGTAGAGCATATATAATTGTAAAAAAAAAATGTTGCAATTTGTAGAACCAAACTTTTCCAGCTCCATATTTATGATTTTGCTCAAGTTGTTACAGTCTTTCAAAGCAAAACACCAGACTTTCGGTGGGAAAAGGAGATAGGGAACACTCACGGCATGGAAAAGGGAGGAAATCTGTCACTGTTAATAGCAGCAAGCTGCAGGTTTATCCTAAGCCATGATAACATTCCATCTTAAAACCCGCAAATGAAGTAGTTAATGTGACGCTTTGGACATGATTTCACATCTCTTTCAATGACAATATTGGATCCCCACAAGTTGTGGATTCCAGGTTGTGAGGGGAGGGGTGGGTCAGAAACAATCGTTGCAAAAAAAAAAAAAAAACTAGAGAAATAGGGTAACAAAAAGGGTAAGTGTGAAGGGTATTTGGTGTCACTGTCCCACAGCACATGAAAATGATCAAGCACCTTGACTTGAACCATTTTTGAAGAAACTCTTATCATGACCAAAAAAAGTTGGATTGCAGCATTTCCATTGATCACCCTCACCACCACAGATTTCTCTTTCACCTTCTTGCTGAAGAAAATCTAGATTGTCTTTCAATTTCTAGGACCTAGTTTGATTCACATGTTATTGCAAATGCTTTGCTTGTTAAAAAGCTGTCCCTACAAAGTCAGCCTGGTTGACAAGTTGGTATGCTGCTCGTCTTTGAGCTCACTCACCCAATCATGAAAACCGATCCAAACTCATCAAATAATTGGATTAGAAGCAATTCAAGCGCCAATATGAAATTCTTCCAACATTTTTCACTCAAAAAATCACCATATATAGTTGTTGATGAAGCTCTCTCATTAATGCGTGGCCTTCAAGCTAGTACTTTTTGTCTTCAATGCCATGTGAAATGGGAATTTTCACAACAGCAGCAGCTGGAACAACCAAACAATCAGATAAAGTTTCATATAGGCATGCTACGAAAACTATGCAATTCTAATGAAGAAGACTGGCATTGATTGCAAGTTGCAACATTAAGGCATCATCTAGACGCGTGAATATATATTTGCTTGTCAATTGCACACGAATTGCATCTAACAGATAAATTCAAAAGAGAAAAAAAAAAGTACCCCTTCCTGGAGTGAGGGGGCTAACTAGCTGCTGCTATATTTGCAAAGATTTAAAGAGAAACACCGGTACAGTCACAAGTTGAACGTTTGCCATACAACAATTCAACAGACTTTTGCCCTGAAAAGGGACCCATTTTATTATTATTTTTACAATGAGATAGTTGATAGGAGAAAGGTAGATGAAATAAATTTAAATATTATATTTAGATATCATTTTTTAAAAATAATAATATAAATCAATTGAGTTATGATCTAAATTTAAAAATTATTGTATTTTTTAACAAAATAACTGCTCAAAAAATTAATTAGATTAGGCAGTTCGATGGAAACAAACCAGGATTTTAGTTGATAGTACCGCTGCTTCTCTGTGATGATATATTCATCCTGAAAAGTACTAATTAATTTTATCATTGTCTTTATTAGGCCTATCAGCAGTAATCAGTCATCCTCGATAAAGTTTTCAAAATAGGGTTCAAAAAACCTTGGCATTTGACATAAAAATTGACTGCTGAAACTATACAAAAACTATCATTAACTGCATAGCCTAGTGCCAATAACTCCGTGTAGCAGAGTGACAGCCAAACTATTCAATCTACATGTGTTGGAATTGCCGATGAAGCCTTGTCTTAATAGCAAGGATAAGGCTGACTCTTCAATCTGATATTGGATGCTCCGAAGATGTGTTATGACGTAAAAATAGAAACTTAAATTCATATTTGTAAGATATTTTTTATAAGATAAAATCAAGAAATTTTTTTATTAAAGTAAATAATATTTTGTGGGTTGTGTATGGGTTTATACAAATGGTATCAGAATGATTATCAATCAGATAAAAATATTTGATGTGATCGTAATTCTATATTTTGTGTGTTTTAAGTTAGATTTGACAATAATATCAAGCTTTAACTAAAGAAATTGTAATATTTTAATCTATATCGAGAGATTATAAAGATTTATTACAGAATATATATAAAAATTTAAACTTATACTTATGAGTCATTTTTTATATGATAAAATTATGAGATTTTTTTTTTATCAAAACAGATAATTTGTTGCAGGATTGTCATTGCAAGTTGGGTCCAAATCCTCCACAAAGGTGCTAGAACCCTAATGGATTTGGTTTATTGGATTTGTTTAATTAGTTATATATGATAGTCAGTTGTTTAATCTGTATAATTTAATTAATTGATTTCTTATACAAAATGTAATATTTGATCATTATTGTAATTTTTATTTGTGCTAGTAATTTCATAAACAAAAATAAGGTGAAATTAAGTTTTGAATGGAACAAGAGAGTGCCTGGAAAGTAAAATCAGGCAGAGTTTTGATACTATGATAGCCAACTGTTCAATGTACAAGTTGAAACTGATATAGATTGGGGCTTAACCGATTCTTATATCATCCAACATTTATTAGTAAGATGAATTAACAGTAATGCTATTTTATTACAAGACAGACGAACAACAAACAAACCACCTTCTTTTTTTGTCGCTGATCAAATTTACAATGTCCTGAATTTCACCGTCTAATATTGTAGCCTCCAACTCACAAAACGTTCATTTCATTCTAAAGCCTTTCAGTTTAAGGGGTTGATATAAACAGGAAAGAGTGACAGAGAGAGAGAGAGAGATTGAAGATGAAGTTAGTGCAATAACCTTTTTTTTGGCTCTTATTTTGGAATTTCTAAAAGATATGTTTAAGCAAACATATTGCGGTAATTTGCGCCAGTAAGAATCAGAAAACATTCGTCTGTTTCTTTCCCTTGCTGTTATCTGATAATAGTGGTTTCTTTTTTTTTTTGTTTTTTGTACTCTTTTGGTATTGGATCACGAGCCTGTGTAAGCTGAGTAGAAAGGACAATTGCTCAGCTTGCACAGCTTCAATGCTGCTTATTTTTATGTCGTTTTGATAGGTGAGAGCTACTTTTCACACTCATTGTCTACTCTTAAGGAAAATAACAATGCAGTAGTATTACCATAATAGTTTTTAAGTAATTAATTGACTGAATAATGAGTAAATTTGTTCATACAAATGAAGAAACTTCATTTGCACGAGAAAACATTGAATTCTGATATCATGTCAGCAGTATAAGCAGTAAGCACGGTTGTCAATTTGGCTAACTTCCATGCACTGTCTGATTTCATTTGGAATTTCCAACTGCAGTTTTGTTTATACCTCTCAAATTCATAAATATTCAATTAATTAATGAAATAGTATCATCTGATTCATTGATAGTGTATAAAAATTATACACATTCAATGTATCAAATATAAACTCTTTATGAGATAAGAGTAGGGATGGCAAGCTAATCCGTCCCCGACGGGTTCCGGCCCGACATGATCCCACGAGATCGGTTTTTTTTTTTGAAATTCGAATTTCGGAGTCGGGTCGGGTCGGATAAAATAAAGAAACAATCGGGGTCGGATCGGATTCG